CACCCACCCTCAGCCTCCCAAAGTGCTGGAATTACAGGTTTGAGCCACCATGCCCAGCCCCGGGCTTTTGTTTATAAAAGATTAAGAACAGACACACTTTACCCTTTGTTTTCATCTGTGAAAACAAAGGGTAAAATGTGTCTGTTCTCAATCTTAACTCTGTGCAAATATATGTATTGTGCAAGCTAACATGTGTAGTATGATTTAACGGCGTAATCTTATAAAGTAGATAAATATCATGCCCTTCTCGGAGTATCCTATTTAATATGCAGTTTATGATTGATTGGGAAAGATTGCCATCTGTGCGTATCACTGTAAAATGCTAGTTTCTACAGTCTCATCTCCATAAATAATCAGTGCAAAGTAAATATCAAAACAGTGAATTTTGCAAATCATTATTTTGTTTACCCTAGAGAAGCTATTTGACCTGCAGGGAAATTTTCAATAGAGAAGTATCACTGGTATTGATTGGAAACAAGTTTCATAACCCTGTGATATTGATGATAATGGGTAAAACGTTTAATATTATAAAGAGGCAAAAATGTATGTAATCATCCAGTTCCAGTTACTCTCCCCTTAAACTCAAGGATAAGCCTCCGCTCGCTTTGAGTGGCAGAGCATCAAAACGGGTTCCAATGTGTGGCCAACAGCATGAACTATAATACACAGGGGAGAGTGGGCACAGGAATATAAACAGCAGTATAATTGTGACCTGAGGTCCCCAAGCTACACCCTGTGTCTGGAGACCTCAGGTCTGAAGGACTGTTTCTGCTCATTATATTCAGCTGGAGCCCCACCTAGGTTGTTGGGACCTCCATGTCTTCCGCACTTCCTAGTAGGAAATTGTTCTTTCTCCTCAGTGAGGAATATCTAAAAAAGAAATCAGCAGTCTCCACCCTCCCAGGATATTATCACACTGGAATTACGGAGTTGGGTGGAGACATAAAAGCAGCTGAAACTTAGAGCAATCTGGCTCCATCGTCTGTTATCTCATTGATTACCATTGATTCAGGTGATTTGACCCTCAGTTCTCTTCCTCTTTCGTCTCCCCCTTTAGGTTCTTCCCAAAGCCATGTGTTCAAGTAAAATGAATGACTCAGTTAAAGAGAATGACCTAGGTGGAAGATCCCCCTGGAAGATAAAAAGTAATAAAAGTGAAAAACAATAGCTGCTAAATAATGGGAATTTACTAGCTGCCAGGGAATGTGGTAAATGCTTTCCAAACATTTTCTCTTCTAATCCTTGTAATAGCCCTAGAGCTAGGTACTGTAATTATCTTTATCAGCAGTGAAAGCCTAGAAAACTACAGTAACTCGCCCTAGAGCCTGCAAGGAGGAAGTGGCTGAACCAAGATTTGAAATTTAATCCGTGTTTTCTAACTCCTAAATAAATGTCTTAACAGGAACATTTTTGGTAGGTCTGTATTTTCTATGTGCCATTGTTTTTAATATGTAGCAAAAAAGGCAGCTCTCAGCTGTTCCTGGCTTCAATGATGGCTCCCAGGGTTCCCTGCGGCATTCAGCAACATATTCCCTGTGAGAGGCCTTCATAGATGCTTCAGTATTGGGAGCTGCTTTTGATAGGGGTTTCTTAGCAGCTGCTCCACTGAGACCCTCATTGTCCCACTCCCTTTGGGCTTCATATTGGGGGTCAGTGCTGAGTGTAAGGTCCTGATGGCTATGCTAGATGAGGGGAGCTATTTATTCAGCATGGTAGCAGGACCCTGGCTCAGGAGAGGGCCCATATCATGGTCAAAAAATAAATTGAAAAAGATTTAAACTAGGGGAGCAGTGTCTAGCAAAAGGCTAGAAAAGATGAGAAATGACCTTCAGCAGACAAACAACTACAAAGTCAGTAGACACAAAACATGGGAGCAGTGGAGAACATGGATGAAAGGTAGATTGGAACTGGGTTACCATCCAGTGGTTCCACTGAAATGGAACAGTATGGAGAACTAGGAGTATTTGTTCATTGGTTAGTTTGTCTGATTTCTCTCTGTTTTTTGTAGGGGGCTGGTTCTATAGAAAGGGGTGGGTCTGTAGAGTAAATGGTCATGAATAGTGCTAGCCATACTTACACTTTAATGCTGCTGAATGCAGCAGGCCAGCCGGCCATTACTCTCACTGCCCCCTCATAGGGGACCATATACGGCTACATCATTCCTCCTCCAAAACTGCCTTCTGGCAAAGTTATCTCTTGTAAGATATGTGTGCATCCTTGAGTTGCTTTAAGGGAAGCAAACATGTGGAACAAGAAAACACCTCAATTCCATTTGCTAAGGCGTTTTGCAGACCCACTGACCCTTCCTTAATTCCAAATGAAATCTCAAACTCTATAAAGAAACCCACCAAATGGGTTACAGCAAAGACTTTTTTACAACCTACAGTTATGTCCAAAATTAGAAAAATCTGGGGATTTGGCAAATTCCAAAATGTTGGGTCATATGAAATTTTTTTTCTTTTTTTTCTTTTTTTTTGAGACAGAATCTCGCTCTGTCACCGAGGCTGCAGTGCAGTGACACAATAGTGGCTTACTGCAGCCTTGACTTCCTAAGTTCAGGTAATCCTCCTGCCTCAGGCTCCAGGGTAGCTGGTACTACAGGTGAGCACCACCATACCCAGCTAATTTTAAAACTTTTTGTAAAGATGGAGTTTTGACATGTTGCCCAGGCTAGCCTTAAACTCCTGGGCTCAAGTAATTCACCAGCCTTAGCTTCCTAAAGTGCTAGGATTACAGGTGTCAGCCACCACACCTGGCCCCATAGGAAAACTTAGTCTCAGAATTAGCCTTTGCATGCATCACCTGTAAGTTAACCAGAATGTTACTTTCAGAAGTTCCATACAGGTGAGGAAGCTAAAAGGTGTTCTAGTATTTTTTTAGTGATTAGTGGGAAACTTCATAATAGAGATGTAAACAGAGTCTATTCTCCCCAGCCTTCGAATCAGACAGCTTGAGTTTAAAACCTGCTTATGAGCTTGAACATACTATTTAACATAGAGTCACTTGTCTATGCCTCAGATTCCCCATGGTGAAATGGAAAATACAGTGCTTACTTCAAAGGGTTATTGTGAGGATTCAATGAGATAATGTATGCAAAGCACAGTGCCTGGAACATGGAAAGTGCTCCAGAAGTTTTGTTATTATTAACATTATTGTTGTCACCACCGTCATCCTTATACTTGGTTATTTTTAGTCTCCTCAATCCTTTAGTTAATTTTTCAAACTTCTGCTAAAGTTTTGCTTGGGCTCTGTCTAATTGGCTGTGAGTCAAAAGAGAATTCACCACATCCAATTGTTTTCTAAAGAATGTCTTTGGAAAATCACAACTGATCATTCTGATACCAGCATCTAAGGTTAGGGCTACCTTATCCTTCATCACTTTCTTGTTTTATTCATAATATCTTGATGTGGACTGTTGATAAAATTATGTTTCAAAAATAAGTAGCTTATTTGAAGGCATCTATAATTTCAGCCCAAACTGACTAATTAGGCTAATTTTCAGAAAGTTAAGTACGTAGGCTAATTCTCAGCTAACTTACTACCTACCAAGTAAAACTGTACTGCCTTTTAAAATCCACAACTCACCTCTCTCAAGGCAAATTTTCTAGTTCTAATATTTGAAGTATTTAACGAACAAGACTTTTAGGGGGTCCTCTCGTGGTTAACACATTTTTTGTTGTTGTTTTCTACCCTGTTTTGAGTTTTTTTTTGTTTTTTGTTTTTTTTGTTTTTTGAGACAGTCTTGCTCTGTCACTTACATTGGAGTGCAGTGACATAATCATAGTCACTGTAACCTCGAACTCCTGGGCTCAAGCGATCCCTCCATCTGTGCCTACCAAAGTGTTGGAATTACAGGCATGAGCTACTGTGCTCAGCCTTTCCTCTTTTCTACTTTTTATTTGTTGCAAAAGGAATATGTTTATTTTAACAAATACTAGTTTTCCCCATCCTACTGCCCTGAGATTTCAGTGTTAAAAGTTGATTTGAGTGTTTCCACATATGTCTTTACAACAAGCTTCTGCTGACACGCCTTGGACCAGCTTTCCGTAAACACATCCAGCCCGACCTATTAGGTTGAACTGTACAAAATTGCCATTTTTGTAGGTCCCGACTATTCTTTAATACCAAGCCTCAAATTGAGCCAGACACTACATGTCCTGTTTTATACACATGCCCTACTCATTCCTGCATGGGTTTGCCTTTGTGGGTTCACTTTTGCTGGATGGCCTCCACACCCAACCCCAGCTCTACTCTGCCTGGATTTCTTTTAACTCTCCTTCAAAGAGGAACATCCTTCAACTTCTTAAATTCCCTTTACACTCATTGTCTACATCACGTATTCTGCCTGCCTTTGCAATACAGCTTTGTGTTTTAGTATTTATATACTGTTTAATACAGATGTTACCTGTTTTGTTGCTTTTATTTTCTCTGGTTGCTTGATGTTCTATTGACATAACTAGACTTTAGTGCTTTCTAGAAAAGGACTATGTTTAGTATATCTGTACTTATTCAAGTGCTGATCCAAGGACATAGGACAAAATGTACAAGTGAATTCAATGAATATTTTCATAATGCAAAGTCTTTTTCTGTAAGGGCATTCACTAATACTGACATTTGCTAATACTTCAGACTAGAAAGTCTCAGTAATATTACTTTTTCTTGATAATTAATTTTGATTGTAAGAGCATTAAATATAATGGAAATCAATTATGCAAATGACCTCGGACTCTAGGTTCACTTCCCAAAACAAACTGTATTCTGAGAAAACTTGTGGTGCCGAAATTTAGAGTGAAACCCCAGACTATTAATGATGCTCATGTTACTTTACTCCAACATAGTAAGTACTCAGTGATTTGTCATGGAAATTCAATTTAGTCTTCTCAAGCTTCATTTTTTTAATGCAAAATCTAATAAAATATCAGTCACTATTTTTACATCTTCATTCTCAATGTCTGTAAAGCTAATACTGATATTAGATTAATGTTATCAAAATTGATAATTACTATACATTGTGAATCTTATTTTTTGGATGTCATTTAAAGGGTTGTCTTCCTGAGTCCTTAAGAAATAGATAATTTAGGCCTTAAAGGTTATTTAACCTTTTAGTAGAAAATAGTTTCCTTGTTTAAGAAAATGATCTCCATCTAGTGGACAAATTTTTATATGGCAAAATACAAAGAAAAGTATCTAAGCTCCTAGAATATCTTATATGAAGCACTTTCTGACCTACTAATAAATGTTTTGGTTTTAGTGGTAAAACCAAAACTTTTAACTCTTAAAAGTTTTAAGAGTTAAAAATATCTTAAATATCTAAGTGACTTAAGATATTTAGCAATATTTGTTCCAAGACTTATAGTGGAGTGTCTCTGTAAGTTAAGACTTAATTTAATTGGAAAAAATATAATTAAAGAAAAAATTACCGATTTTTACAAAGTTGGCATTTACTCAATTGAAATGAAAAAAACTAAACCAAAACCCACACTTCTGTATCTCTTACATTTCTGTTTGTGGACAGGAAGAAGAGGGTATTTTCTGTTTTTAATTTAGCAATAAGAATATCTTGATATTAAAGGGAAATAGACATAAACATGTTTTTTAATTTAAAATATATCTATTCATTTATATGGTATATATCACCCTCTACAAAAAAAAATGACATTTGTCTTTCAATCTGTCAAGCTTGGCTAAAAAATTCATGTATCTCTTTTCTATATCACATATTGACATGATATAGGATGTAAGATATAAATATCAATTTAATAGACTATTAAATAATTTTGGAAAATCTTGGATAAATGGTTAAAATTAGAGATTGACATTAAGTGTGGGCACAGGAATATTCTGTGTACACCAATGGGTTTAACAGAAGATGTGTTTGCACTGATTTCTGGTCAACTTGCTTTCTGTGAATCTTTAAGTACCGAGTTCCAAATCTTCCAGCTCCTGGAGAAGGGCTGTTTCTTTTTGAATTTTCTCCAACCGATTTTTTCTAGCTGTTTTCCAGTTGCTGCTTGTTCTTTCAGTTGTTCGATTGCTTTCAGTTTCCTCTTTAGGTTCTTGATTTTTTTTGTCTATCTCAGGATCCCCTGAAATTGACTGAGAGATAGTGCTTCGTGGTGTGCTCTGTGGGGCAGGAGTAGGTGCCAAATCTGGACTCTTGTCATCTTGCTTCCTGCTTTGCAGCTTTCTTAGCTTCATGCTTCCTTTGATTTTTAAGAGCTGTTTTTGATAATGGCTTATCATTTCCTAATTGTGGTTTCATATTCTGAGGTGGTTCCTCTTCATGCAGTTTGGAATTGGTGATTGGTTTATTTCTTAAAGCTGGAGGTCTATAAGCTGTTGTAACTTTAGGTTCCTCATTGGGTACTTCACTTGGAACTGCTTGGTAAGTTATTGTTTTTGCTGGAAATATTCCATCCAAAAATGGCTGCCAAGAAGCCTGCCATAATTCTGCATTTGATGGCACGTCATACTTGTGCAAGATAGCGCCAGTATAATGCCAAATTTTGTATCCATTATTAACCCGTAATCTGGGAGCACATGTGGCTGTTAAAATATGCTCACCATCCGGGCACCAAGCAAAATATGTAGAATTGGAAGTCACTGGTTTAGAAATAAGCTTGTAGTTTTTCACATCCCACACTTCCATTTGTCCTCTCAGATTTCCAAATCCAGCTAATACTAATATATGTCCATAAGTGCTATAGTAGGCTGCATTACGAGTACCAGTTCCAAAGTCAAATACAGGATCACATTTCAAGTTGAAAAGTGTCACTTTGGCAGGCATAAAACCATAAACAGCATAAAACTCAGTAGAACTAGAATTCCAAACTACATCATAAATGGGGCCATTTTTTGGTAATTGTACTACAGCACTTTCTCCATTTGTTGCGATGTAGTGCAGAGTGTGTTCTCCATAGTAGGAAGCTCCTGTCTTGTCAACATCTGTGCTAGCTATCACCAACACAGCAGTAGCTTTTTTATTCCACAGCATTGTAACCTTATCAGCCTTAAAGAAACTTTTATTAGCTAAAGCTGCATGAGGTCCAGCAAAGTTGGGGTACTGATATAATCTTAACAAATGAAGGTGCACCTTTACTTCCTGGAACATAGACAGCCACCTTGTATGGTTGTGGTCCAGGTGATAATACAAAATCATTAATTTTTTGCAAATGCAATTTATTTGTAATTGTGTTAAAATTGTTGTTTTCAAAGAAGTGAACTTCATTGCTAACATAGTGGGCACAAAGAGTTTCATCTTCTGACCAGGATGGACACCAATTTTGCATTTTTTTCTGGATGAAAGATTTCAAACATGTCCCAGTTTTCACATCATATAGTTGTAGGTTGGGTATCCCAGCTGTGCCATCTTTAGAAGTGGTATAAGGCTGCCACGTTGCCGGGACAGTGTTTTTTGGCGAGAATTCAAGGCAAACTGCCTTTGGGAGGTCGAAGGAGTGGAGTAGTCCCTTGTTAGTGACATTGATAATATTTACTTTTTCTCCATTGCCCCAGGCAAACGAGGTTCCATCCTTACTAAACGTATAGGCTTTGCAATTATTCCCAGATTCCCTTGGAAACACTGTGCTTTCTGTAAAATGTGGTGATCCATTCACCATGTACAGTCCTTCTGATCCCCGGACTGTCAAGAGCGGCCTGGATGTCGCCATATTGTCCAGGAAAGAGAAACCCATCCACTGCGGTGAGAGTTCACGAGGGCGGCACCCAGCCCCTACACGTCTCCTCAAGCATGGAGACAGCGAGTTGGGACATAAACATTTTTATAGGTATTCACATTCCTAGGTCCTCCTTATGCTGATAAGCTGCCATGGCTATTTTCTTAGAAGAGAAATCTACTTTGCCAAACTCCCATTATTCAGAAGTTTTTAACGTCTACCAGTTGTATACTAAACACCTTCAAAAACCTTCTTAAGTACTATTCTCCATGAAAACTTCTCAGATATCCCAGCCTGAGTTAATCATTCGTCCTTTATTTTTGTATCTTAATGCACTCATAGTAGGTGCTTAATAAATGCCCTTTTAAGCATATCCATGGAGAGTTTGCTGAAGGTCCCTAATGTATGTCTATTGAATAATTAAGAGACCACCCTCCCTTTCCAGCCTTCCTGGGAATTGCCAAGGTCCCATGTACACACGTGCCTATCCTATTCTGATGAAACAGATGTCCCTTGTTTGGATGACACATATATTTGTGTTTGCATAATTATGCAGTAGAGCTAGAAGGACTTTAGGAACAATCGATGATTCAATACAGTTAGCTCAGTGACTGGTCAATTAAATTTTCTAGGACCTGGTATCCTTGTCTGTAAAGTGTGTCTGTTCAACTGGGTAATCTCTCATTGTCCTTCCTGAACCAAAAAATGCATCTACAAAGTGACACAATTCTAAGAAAATTTTAAGTGGGAAAAACATATTTACAATTGGTTAAGCGTGATGATGAGTTTTTCCTCTTCTGTTTACTTGATGGGTTGTTTTGGAGCCACTGTTATTTGATTGTAGATTCAAAAGTGACCTGTGAAACATCTTCCAATCTTACGGTCATAACTCTATTTATTAATAACTGCAATAAAGAAAATAAATGAATGTTTTAAAATTAGCTAGTTAATAGTTTGGATAAAGATTCTAATGGGGAAAATGTTAATGGCAGCAACACTTGAATTCACATGTTTATTAATTCAACAATTTTTTCTTTAAAATGACACACCAGGCCTGGCACGGTGGCTCACGCCTATAATCCCAGCACTTTGGGAGGCCGAGGCAGGTGGATCACGAGGTCAAGAGATCGAGACCATCCTGGTCAACATGGTGAAACACTGTCTCTACTAAAAATACAAAAATTAGCTGGGCATGGTGGCACATGCCTGTGGTCCCAGCTCCTCAGGAGGCTGAGGCAGGAGAATTGCTTGAACCCAGGAAGCGGAGGTTGCAGTGAGCCAGGATCGCGCCACTGCACTCCAGCCTGGGTAACAAGAGTGAAACTCTGTCCCAAAAAAAAAAAAAAAACCACACACCTGCTGGGCTATCACCCTTCTCACCTAAGAACACATGAAAGGTGACTATTTTAATACTGGTTGATGTTTCACTAGAAAGGTTCTTTGTGGAAAGTTTATCTAGATTATAAGGACTATGACGTTAAGAACTGTGTGTGTAGTTATTTTTTTCCCAGCTCTGAAATATGTATTGCTGAGCACAGTGTCTTTTATTCATTTAATCATTTACTCAAGCCACTTGTGCACGGTTTTCAAAGTGCCAAGAATACTCAGAGTCTCCATTCGTAGAGAGCTCACAGTCTAGGAATGGAGACTGGATGCAAAACATTTTCAATTCATTATAAATTCGGTCATTAGGGAGTGAGAAAGTGCCTTGGGAGCATAGAGAAGAGGGCCTTTCATAAAGCTCGGCTGTACCAGGGGAGCCTTTAAGGTGCAGGCTAAGTCTCAAGGATAAGTGACAATTAGGCCGGGAAAAGGGAGGGTTGAGTAATTAGGAGGGCGGGAGGTTAGATGGTGATAGCCTGTGACAAGGAGATCGTGCTTCAATATGAGTTGAGTTTGAAGTACCCAGTAGATGAGGGCTGCAAATTGAGGCTGGAAAGGCAACTAATTGTAATTGAGAGCAGATGGTTAGACTGGCAGTCTAGAAAATACATTTTGACGTCATCCTGAGGGCAATAATAAGTTACTAAAAAGCTTTAAACTGAAGAATGACAGTAGAAAATGGATTCAAGACACTAAAATAAGGGCTGTTATAATAATATAGGTGAAATTTGATGGAGACCTGAATTCAAAATATTGCTAGTAGGGAGGGAAGGAAGTGAGTACAGTAGAAATTAATGCTCAGATAAATGTAGTAAGGTGGGACTGTGGAGAGAGAAGCCCAGGCTTGGGAGAACAGTATTAGGCACAACATGGGCATTTGTTGAATCGAATTCAAATATTTAATGAATTGCTGTGTATTTGTTATTTTCCAAAAGGAATTTTGTACTTAGAAGATTATTTTTTGCAGAATATTTCCCTTTTAACTGAAGTTGAGTTTGGAAAAACCTCTATCTTGTATCTGGTCAATTAACAAGAGTCTCCAGGAAAATAAGAATGTGAAGTCAATGTGTTTTTCTTTTATGTATTTCATATAATCATATTTTAATGGCAGGAATTAGGTATAAATTTGATTCCTGCTAATTCCACTGTCAATTCCTCAGCTGAAGGTAAATGCTTTGTGAAAATATCAACATGCATTTGAATGTTCACAGCAACATAATTCCTTCTCCTTCCTTTACAGTTTTGATGTGGACAATGGCACATCTGCGGGACGGAGTCCCTTGGATCCCATGACCAGCCCAGGATCTGGGCTAATTCTCCAAGCAAATTTTGTCCACAGTCAACGCCGGGAGTCCTTCCTGTATCGATCCGACAGCGATTATGACCTCTCTCCAAAGTCTATGTCCCGAAACTCCTCCATTGCTAGTGATATGTAAGTACAAGGGTAGGCAAAGAGAAGAGGGAGCTCCTACAGAAAACCAAGTACATTTATATCTAGAGTTGATGATTGAATAAAACTAATGACTTTTGTTCAACTGAATCACTCTTTCAATATAGAAAGAATATGAATAAAGTCATGCAAACTAGAAATGAATGGTAGATTTAACTTGAGTGTCACTCTTGATTCACACACACGCACACGTACACACACACCCACACACACTCATACACACACACACACACACACACACACACACATGTTTATTTTCCCAGAAAACACACTTTCTGGGAAAACTGAGAATTTTTAATGAAAACTAATACTTAATCATTAGCTCCTGTTTATGTAGAAACTGAGTTTTAGCTACCCAGCTACATGGATATTTTCTAATATTTTGAAAAGCTTTCAACTCAGTTTGAAAATTCCTTTGATAAGACTGTATAGCATTTTGAATATATTCCAATTGATGTATGTACAGATGTTAGCACTGGTTTGCCAGATTGTTTAAGAAATCTTTGTGGGTTTTTGCCAAAATTAAACCAATTTTTAAATAAGGATCATTAGAGGCAAGCACAGAAACCATTAGACAGACTTGAATATCATTTAAGGCATAGTACAGCTTGGAAAATAATGAAAACTGACAAGCAGGTTTGCAGATCATATACTGTACCATCACTTGCTCATTTTCTCAATGCATTTCATTCTCGTTGTAGCGTTCATGTTTTTATACATAGGTCTTTACTCTTACTCAATACTTGCACTATCACCTGTGGCACCTCTGCCTCTGCATAGAATTGATCTTCATTTTTCTCTCTTGGTTTATACATTTGTCCAATAACATTTACCATGTTTTTATGACACCCATCTCAAAAACTCATAACAGGATGCAATTTATCTTATAATAATTAGACTGTATGGGACCCCTGTCTGTCTAGTATTATTCTTGCTCTTCTAACAGAGCATCAGGGTATTGCAATAGGTCTACATGGGGTTCTAGAAATGAAATTATATTTTACTCATTTTTACAAACTATAGTTGCTGTTTTATTAGCAGTTGTATTATTTATGTCTATCCTTCTTCATCCCTAAACCACTTTCTATTCCTAGTGGCCCTATTTCTATGTTATTTTTATTTCACTTTCTTAGATTTGAAATTCAAGACATTTATTCATTCACACATAATGAGAATGCTTCTTGAGCAAATACTATGTATTTAAAGCTCTCAATCTGTGGAGTGATGAGGCCTGGCATGTGTTAGACCATTGCAATAAAATACCAGGGATACCATCCTTGAGGCATTTACAAAGCACTGCAGGAACATAGAGAAGAGATGGAGAGTTTTCCACCCAAGGGAAAGGTGCAGAAAACACTGGGCTAAGGAAACAGCACTTGGTAAATATGAGGCATGGAAAATTACAGCTGAACTAAGGAATGACAGTCTGTGTGATGTGAATAGCGAAACCTGGCAAGAGAGAAGAAAGATTCAAATACAGCCTATGGGACTGGAGAGCCACAGAGGTTTTTAGCTGGGTTTGGCATGATCATATTCTGACTCTATTGTTGAATGATTGTGTAGCGAAGTGACTACAGGGAAGTATTTCATGTCAAAATTCACAGAAGTAAGGCAGGATAAATATGATGAAGAGCTAGGTCAAGGGAGTGATGGCAGTGGAGCAAAGAGTTGGTTCAGATACAAGAGGCTTTGAGAGAGAGAGAGAGAGAAAGAGTGAGTGTGTGTGTGTGTGTGTGTGTGTGTGTGTGTGTGTGTGTGTGTGTGATGTATGTTTCTATGTATGTTGGGAGACAACCAGTGGAAAAAGAGAATCAAAAAGAGTGCTGATGTTTTGACCATGAAAGAATATGTAACTGGTGATGTGGACATGAGAAGCAAGGAGCAGAAAACGTGACAGGTAACAGGTGATGAATTTGACTTGTACATGCTGAGGCTATGGGAAACAAGACAACAGTTAAAGGACCAGGACAGCAAACAGAAATAACAGGCCAGAAGACCTGGAAAAATGAGAACAGTGACCTTCCATAATTACTAGGTTTTTGAATGACAGTTGAGTGGAGCGTCGTATTTGGGTAATAGCTTTAGGAGCCCCTGAATTAAAGAGTGAATTTAAAGTGAAAATGTGAACAAGTCCAGGCATCTCTTTAAAAGGCTGATGAGTGAAGCAGGAAGAGAGAACTAAGGCTGCCTGATGGAGAATTAGGTTTAAGCAGACTTTTTTAAAATTCAGGATACTTTAGCTGAGGGAAGAGTCTAGGAGATAGAAAGAGACTGAAAATTCAAGAGGAAAAAAGGGTTAAAGATGGAGCCGTTATTGCTGACAAAGATGAGACCATGAGCTGAAATAGGGATACTATCCTTGGAAAGGTAGTAGATACCAGAACTATTTGCTTTAGGAAGGACAAAGACCTGCCTGGCCAACATAGTGATACCTTATCTCTACTAAAAATAAAATAAAATAAAAATTAGCTGTGTATGGGTATGGCATGTCTCTACTAAAAATAAAATAAAAATTAGCATGCACCTTTAGTCCCAGTTACTCTGGAGACTGAGATAGGAGGATTGCTTGAGCCCGGGAGTTCAGGGTTGCAGTGAGCTATGATCATGCCACTATACTCCAGACTGGGTGACAGAGCAAGACAAGACTGTGTCTGAAGGAAAAGAACAGAAAGGAGAAAAGAAAAGAAAGAAGAAGCAAGAAGAAAAAGAAGAAGACGAAAATAAATGTGTAAAGCTCTTAGCCATGAGTATCTAAACATTCTCCTCTTCCATCTCCAAATGAATGAATGTAAAAGTAGAAGGTACAGCCGTAAATAGCCAGAGGAGAGAGGGATGGGGCAGCTTGAGAAGAAAGGGCAAGGCTTAAAAAAGCCACTATGCAGATCAAAAAAGGGGACAGGGTAGAAGTGAGTAGAATACTGACCAGCCCCATAGATAGTAATAAACAATATTAAATAGGCAAATGACCGAATTGAAAGTCATCTAATCCAACTTCATCAAAGGCAAGTCAACCTTGGAATTGATAAAGGAAAGGGGAAAACTTACAGTAAGTTAGTGGAGACCATTTATATAGTTATGTGTTCTACCTTTATAAATTGTAGTAAGCTCAGTTTTGGCTAGATTATTTCTTTCATACACTCTATTTAGTAAATATTAAATATACATATGTATTATGAAAATCTTACAGCATTTTATATTTAAATATGAAGTGCTTTTATTTCAAAATCAGACTTGCAAAAATGACCTCATTTTGCTGTGTGTCTCAAGAGTTTCTTTATCTGATCAGACTCAGGTAGGAATGACGAGTTTCATCAGACCAAAAGTCAACTCTGTATGCTACTGAAAAATGATGTGTTGACATGTTTAGCTTTTCCATTCTCCCTGGATATTTACATTGGAGGAGAAAGATGTTCCTTTGACACTGACTCCTAGAAAGCATTCTTTCTACCAAAGAGATTAATTTTCTGTGGAAAGAAAAGTAAATATAATAAATAATTACTATTTTAACATTTAATCTGACACTATACATACCTTCCACCATAAAGGACTATGCCTTCTCGTAATTTGAATCCTCATATGCCATGTGTAAACTTTAATTTTCTTACCTTACCTAGTTCACAATAATGCTATGAAGACTGTCTGATGTCTATAATCCAACTGTGCTTTATAGAGAATGATGTTATGATATATTTAATTACTTGATGATTTTATATTAATTGTTCTAGTTAAGCTTTCCTATTGAGAAAATTTCTTAGAAATTTCAAACACAAACAGTACATACCTAATGAAGGGTATTTAAAATGAAGGCTTGTGGTTATCTATTTAATTGAACTGTTTTGGAAAACCTGTAAATACTCTTTAATTTTAAATATAACTATTTACTACATTGGAAAAGTGAAAAAAGGAAAAGAATTCCTTCCTAGTAGATAGGATATCATCTTATCCTCTATAAATAGAAACCAGTGAAATAGCTGAAGAACAAAACAGTTAAAGATGGTAGTAATAATAATCATAGCATACATGGTGTGTATATATTTGTCATCAACTTTCCCAAGTATTTTCATACCAGTTATCTCATTTGATATACTCACAGTCCTTTTGATAGGGACATTGTTATGCTGTTTTACAGATTAGAGAGCCAAAGTCCAGTGAGCTTAATCTTTTGTTAAAAAAAAAAAAAAAAAAAAAAAAAAATTTAAAAAAAAAAAAAAAACAAGCATTTTGATCATTTCTAGGAGCACATAATTTTGATAATGCCATTGTAAATAAAATACTGTATATTACTGCAGCAAAAATTGCCGAGAAACAGAAGTACCTGTTGACCAAATTTATTAAACCAGTGAATTACATAGCACTATGAAAATTTGATTAAGAATAAAATAAAAGCTCAAAGAGGTAACCAAGTAAATATGCAGCCAACTCTTAGAAAATGTATACCAGTATGTAGTACTAGGCTAATCTCAGAATCTAAAAAATTTGCTTATATAAGGCAGAGGGGAAGTTCCTGGCCACTTCTGCTCAAAGACCATCACACAGTTTGTTAAATATAGATGATGCAGTAGCAACTTAATTCTTAAGAAAAATAAGAAAAAGAAAAATGTAGAGTTGGCATGAGTCTAGTAAATAAATACATGAAAATAAATTTGAATTACCACTAACAGTAAAAAGGTTTTTTTAATAATGGTAGAAACAACTAGTTAACAAAAGGTTGCCCAAGTGATGTCATGAAGAAACATGAAAAAAATTGTAGTGTAAATAGACAATATTTTTGTCTTCTTAATATTTCAGCATCTAAATAACAGCCATTTCTGTTGTTTCCCATCATCCAGTAATATAATATCTGTATTTGGAAACACATAAAGATATGATACATTGCAAAGATTAAGAGAATTAGCAGAGACAAGGTAAATAAAGTCACAAAACTATGAATTTATTGAATATAAGTTACTTATCAAACTACTTAAGTTTTAAGAAATATTCAA